GCGTTTCTGGGTATAGTGACTGGGTATAGCTGTGTCGTCTGCAAACGCTGAACATATATGGATGGATATGGATATGGATATATATCCGCCATAAGTAATCGAAGCTTAGCAAGAGAAGCTCCGAGAATGCAGTTGTCTATAATTACGTGGTATTATTATGTTATGGTAATACGTGGTATTATTACTAGCTATTATTAGCTAGTGTGCAGCAGCTCAATGCGAAACCAGCAAAGCGTATGCGAAACTGAGAGAAACAAACAAAACAGAAAATGCTTATAAGTCCGCCGCTGCTCATCCGTTTCAGTCTTTCAAATTATTAAGTTTCATCTTTGGCTCTTTGGCCCAACAGCTAAAAGCTCCAGAGACTAGGGCCTACTCCAGGTATTAAAAGTGCAAAGAAAAGCAGGAACAGCAGCAGCGAAGGAGCAGCAGCAGCTGCAATAATGGTGCCCGTGAGCGAGGAAAAGTGAGGATCCAAATCCGTTTAAGGACAAGGAATAATTTTTATTTTATAAAAAAACCTTTTAGTAAAGATTTTGTAACTAGATTCTTGTCAGACAACTTCTTACAATTAATTCGGTGAAACAATCCTACAAACTCTGTGAGCTAGCCGCGGAAAATTGTTGCGAGCAAAGAGAAAAAAAATAATTCGTTACACCTGGCTCCCGAAATTCGTCATTGCAGTGAGTCTAGAAGTAGCAAAGTATATAAATGGGGAGAAAGAACTAAATATTCACGCTTAGAATGGAGGAGTTGAGCGAAGTTTGCAGAGAGCTGGGCCTACCAGCAGACGGAGCCGTGGGACCTATGAATTCTCTGGTAGTGAAGTGGGTCAACGAGACCAAAGACGACGAAATGCTAGCGCTGTCGCGCGGGTTAAGCGGGCACAGAGAGAGTTTGGCGGTACCAGAGCCGGAACGAGCATGGAAATACAATCAAGGAAACCTTTCCTGCCTGGTTCAGGGGGACTAGGTGAAAGTGGCTAAATAGGTGCGAGACTGGTCATTTCGGATCGACCAAAGAGGAGACCCGTTGGAGTTCCTGGACAATAAAACATATTCCGCGATCCCGAGGCCCAGGCCAGAGTTACAGCCAGACAAGGCACAAAGATGGTTCATAATAAGCGATAAGGAGTGGCCAACGTGGATACAATTCAAGGCGAGTTTTGAAAACTATTTCCTTCCAAAAGAATATTTTGAGAAGTTGGCGGATCAGGCTCGTCAGCGAAAGCAGCGGCGTGGGGAGCTGTTCAAGGAGTGCATGGTGGACCTTCAACCCCTAATGAAGGCACTAGCGAAAATCACGAAAGAGGTGACGAAAGGCTCTTAGAAAACTGCATGCGACGCTTGGGCCGTATGCATCCACATTCACAAAGGAGGTGATGGATCTGGCCGAAGAGTTCAAAAAGTTGGTAAAGAAGGAGGAGACTTTTAACGAACAAGTCGCCACAGAGTCACGTTGGAAAGGTGTCAGAGAGGAACTCCAGCAGGTCGAGCCCACAAGGTACCAGAACGATAGATGGACCCAGAAAGAACAGAGATACGAGTTTTACCCACCAGCCATCCAAAACAGTTAATGGATACCAAGGTGGCACAGGTGAAAAAACCCAGAGCACCCCAGGACAAGAATGTATGTTGTAACGCTTGTATCTTTCAAAAGAAAGGGAAAAGGGAAAGGTGCGCCATCTAGGAGAGAAGTTTCAGACTAGAAACGGGCACAGAGAGATTAGGAGGAGTGCAACCGGTTAAAATGGCAAATTTTCCGTTGGGGCATTGTCTCACCGGGCAAAGGCCATAGAGGGATCAGCGCCAAATTTCGGGGCATTCATTCCCTCAGTGCATCTCCTCTGGTTTGGTTGAGTGGATTTTTTTTCATCTAGTAGTGGATTTTTTTTATGTGGTGCAAAAAACGATAAACCAGGAGCTTGTGTCCAAGGGCAAACATAGCGAAAAGGAGCCCACCGTTTTTGTGGCCAAGAGCGAATCCGTCGAGGTAAGGAAGGGCGACGGGTCAGTTAGGAGTTCTTGTCAAATTTTCTCTTGCGTGACTAGGGTCGGCAACAAGGTAGACACTACCGGGGGGAAATTCGGAAGCCCACGGCGCAAAGCAGCAGGAGCAGCGTTCGCCGGAAGAGTTCCAGTTGGTTCCAAAACATCAAGAGATACCCCAAGACCAAAAAGCTGGGGGAAGAAGAACAAAGAAAAAGACTCGGTCAGCGGGCTTGAGTTTTACTCGATAGGCCCACCATCGAACCTTTGGCTCAAACAGGTAGTTTGGTTCTAACCGCGCTTGGCAGAGCGTATTTCCTCGCCGCGAGCTTTGTGAAAAAAAAAATCGAGAAAAACTACCAATTTTCCGGAGGGAAAGCGACCCGAGTGTGACCCGTGGTACATCGGAGGCGTCCGGCGACCCCAGCGCGGTGAACCGGAGTACTTTCACACGGAAAAACCAGTACCGCCGAATCCACGTGGGATTTCGGCATGAAGTTAGGTGCTAGATTTTTTTTTTTTTACTAATTACTCCTCTCGGGAGCTTAGGGCCTCTACAAGGGCTCTCCACCTAACTTTATTTGGCGCTGTTTGCTTTATTGTGTCCTAGCTGATATTCTTCCGGGATATTTCTAGGAGTGCTGTACGGCGCCAGGTCATCTTTGGGCGCCCCACTCTTCTGCTTCCTTGTGGGTTCTATTCCAGAGCCATTCTTACGATGCTTGCTGGTTCCTTCCCCAGAGCGTGGCCAATCCATTTCCATTTCCGTTTCTTTATTTGCTCCTGGATTGGGACCTCTCCTGTACCCCAAGTATTATTCTCAGGCACTTATTGATGTAAGCCTGCAGCTTCATCAATATCCTTTGAGTGGTCAGCCACGTCTCCGATCCGTATAGCAGTATGGATTTTACACACGAGTTGAATATGCGCAGCTTTGTTTTTCTGTTTATCTGCTGGTTTCTCCATTCTCGGTGTAGTCTTCCAAATGCAGACCTCGTTTTGCGCAGTCGGTTCTCCACATCACTTTCCACTCCATCATTTGATGTTATGATCGTACCGAGGTAGGTGAAGCTGTCGACGAAGTCGATGGTATTATCTCCGATTGTGATTTTGTTTGTGTTGGAGTTGTTGATCCGCATAGCTTTCGTTTTTGATGCGTTGATCTTTAAGCCTACTGCGCTGGCTCGCATCTCGAGGTTCCTAGCTTTGGCTTGAATGTCTTCGAATTTGTGAGCTAAGGGACATATGTCTTCCGCGTAATCCAAGTCTTCTAGATGTCGGGTGAAGTTCCAAGTGATTCCGCGTCTGTTCATGCATACTTCTCTCATAATTTCGTCGACTACCAAGTTGAACAGAAGTGGTGATAGAGGACATCCTTGCTTGACGCCTGTGTTCGTCTGAAAGGGTGCACTAATTTTCCCGTTGTGCAGTACCGCCAGCTCAGCATCATCATACATAGCTTTCACTATGTTTATGATTTTCACTGGCACTCCCTTTCTTGCAAGTGCCCTCCATATCGCTGCTCTGTCTACCGAATCGAATGCCTTCTGGAAATCTATGAAAAAGAGGTACAGCGGCGAGCGCCATTCCACAGTTTGTTCGGTTATTGCACGTAGTGTGTTTGCCTGGTCTACGCAGCTCCTGTGTGGTCTGAAACCTCCTTGTTCATCTCGTATTGTTGGCTCTATCTTTTCCTGAAGGCGTTCGTTTAGTAAAGTGGCTAGTACCTTGTAACTTGTGTTCAACAGGGTTATGCCTTGCCAGTTGTTGCATTCACTGAGGTCTCCTTTTGTACGGTCATTTTCGTTGTCGTAATGTTCATTACGTAATGTTAGTGCATACCACAACCCTACAATCGATACCTGCTTGATGTCTATCGATCTCGAGACCCCGGTCCCTTTGGAAAGCGGGACACCTCTAAGCTTCTTCCAATTATTACGACTGAAACACATTTTGTTATACTGCCAACATTGTTTGATCTCTAAAATCAATTCAAATTAAATTCAGTGACATACTTGAAACAAACCCTGTGTTTTTATAAAACGGCAACAGCAAAGTCCCCATAGCAGACTTCTGCTAATCATTGACTCCCGTATTCTATCGGCGCAGTCACAACATTTTTGGTGGCACATGAGGGGAACCTGTTGTTAAATGTGCCAATGAATGGAATTTGGATCGCTGCGCGACGAATAACGGACAAAGGAAGGAGAGATTGCTGCGAGACGAATAACGGACCAAAGGAACGACGAATTGAAACTGGAAACTGCTACACAGACTGACTGGAAGCCGGTGAGTGTTTGTATGTGAGGGCTGTGATTTCAAGCGTGCTGTTGTAAATTCAATAAAACTATGGGTATCGACGATGAAAAGACAGGCACACAAGCCAATCCTTCCCCATCCGACCAGTTTGCTGGTTTGCACGCGAGACAGAAGGATTTATGGAACAGGTTGACGCAACTCGAGCGTAACTTCAAGAAGGATAGCCAATCCCGAAAATCCAAACATTATTTTCTTCAGCGACTTAGCACGTTAAAGGATTTGTCCACCCTGTTTGATGCGAATCACCAACAATTGGTCGATCAGCTGTGTCCCAGTCAACATGTATATTTCTCAGACAACCTATACGAGCGGTTTGTTGAAGAGCACCAGCACATCTTCTGCAACATCTCGGAAGAATACGACAACAAGTTCTAAGTGATAGCCCAAGGTTCCCCACCAATCGAGTCCGTCACTCCAATTTTATCATCCAACATTTCGCTTCCGAAGCTTCCAGTTCCACGATTTTCGGGAAGCTTTACGGATTGGCCCTCGTTTTACGATGTTTTCCTACAACTCATCCATGACAACAACACTCTCTATAACATCCAGAAGTTTCACTTTCTCAAGCAGGCCTTGCCCGAAGGACGGGACCAGGATGTCAGTCAAATGGCATTAACGGATTCTGGGTATACGGTAGCCTGGGATCTCCTCGTCAAGCGCTAACACAATCCACGTCTCCACTTTATGCACACCATGGCGGCACTGTATGGTCTTGAGTCGGTTCCCAAGGAAGCTGCAGAAGGTATCAGGCGCGTGCTAACCCTGGCTAATGTTTGCATTAGTGATCTTCGACGCTTAAAAATAAACATTGATTCCTGCGATCACTGGCTAGTGCATCATCTGTTAACCAAACTACCAAGCAGCACTACGCAAGCGTGGGAGCACTCATTGGGGAGCTCCACCGTGATTCCAACCTTTTCGATGTTGGAGACTTTCCTGCTGGAGCGCTTAGTTAGCATCGACCTAATCGAAAATCGAAATCAACCACTTGGAACTCGTTCAGCACCAGGACAATCTTCTCATCCACGTGCGCCTAACCGATCCAACTTCAATTCCACTAACCGCCACAGTTTTCATGTGACTACGGAAATGGGAGCACCCCAGTGCACTCTCTGCCAAAGAAACCATGTTCTCCGGAGATGCCCCAGTTTTCTCGCGAAGGATTGCTTTGCTCGTAAGACGATCGTCGATCGCATAAAAGCATGCCTCAATTGTCTCAGCACAGGCCACGCGCTAAGTCACTGCGGCAGCACTCGCAATTGCTTACAGTGCGGCCAACGCCACCATACGCTACTGCATTTTCCGAACATAGCAACCCAGCCTACCAACTCTGCCCTATCGCGACAGCCAACGAACGGTGTCCATAGCGCGCAGGGCACCCAACAGAGCGTAGCATCCCGCTCATCTGTTTTGTCTTAACAGCACAGCCTAGCCCCCGGCTTAACTGCTTCGAACGAGACGCAACTCCTCAGCGCAGTTGCCACCTATCAAAATCCATCCACCACGATTCTCGCCACGGCCCTTTTCCGAATTGTCAACGACCAAACGGGACAATCTGTTTTAGCCAGAGCGTTGATTGACCATGGCTCGGAAGGAACACTTATCACCGAAAGCTTAGTACAGACGCTGGGTCTCTCACGCACCCTTATATCTGCGGAAATAACAGGGATCGGCGACTCCTTTCACAATCGTTGTCGACATAGTACCAATTTTATCCTAAGCTCGATTTCAGGTTCCCAGTTCACATCGTTTGTATCCACTGCATTTATTCTCCGTACACTTACAGGGCACCTTCCAAAATCGGATGTCGACCCTCGCTCATTCCAACACCTTAAAGGATTGCAACTCGCCGATCCCAATTTTGCCCGCTCCGGTCGTATTGACGTGCTTGTGGGCGTTGATCTTATTCCACAATTGATGCTCCCAGAAATTCGACGAGGAACTCATGAGGAACCAATCGCACAAAACACTCTTCTTGGTTGGATTGTTTTTGGACCAGTGAGGAAATCCATGACACACTCCATCACTGTCCGTTGTAACACCACGACGCTTGACCATGTGGTGCAAAGGTTCTTCGAACTAGATAGCGTGCCGTCTGAACGCCAACTCACCACAGAGGAACGATGGTGTGAAGAACACTTTCGTCAAACCCATGTTCGACAGCCCAACGGGAAATACATGGTTCGCTTACCACTGAAAACCTTGTTCGATCCGTCACAAGTTCTAGGCCGATCAAAACATATAGCCTTAAATCGTTTCTACACACTAGAGCGAAAATTGCAGCAGCGCGAAAAGCTTCATCAACAATATCTCCAAGCAATCGAGGAATATTTTGACTTACAGCAAATACAAGAAGTCACTACAAGCGAAGACAGTCACTGTCATATCAACACAAATGGGAAGCTCGGCGTCTTCTGCAGCACGATTCCACACCATGCAGTCCTGAAGGAGGACAGCCTGACGACTAAGCTCAGGGTAGTCTACGACGCCTCTTGTAAGAGCTCCAACGGGAAATCACTGAATGACATTTTATGTACTGGGCCAGCTCTACAGAACGATTTGGGAGGAGTGATACTAAATTGGCGTTGTTATCGCTATGTTTTCGTGGCGGACATCCAAAGGATGTACCGATGTATCGAAATGCATCCAGAGGACTCTCAATTCCAGCGCATTTGGTGGCGTGACAAAACCGGAGAGTTAAAAGAGTTCCGTCTCACCACAGTTACCTTCGGAACAGCATCAGCGCCATACACAGCGATTCGGGTGATCCACCAAATAGCTCAGGACGAACGAGAAAATTATCCGCTAGCAGAAAAGGTACTGAAAAATGAGATTTATGTTGATGACGTACAAAGCGGCCATGAGACCACGGACGGTGCCATTCGAGTGCGAAACGAAGTCATAGCAGCCCTCCGCTCGGCTGGTATGCATCTTCGAAAATGGGCAGCGAACCACCCGGCGTTGCTTAGCGATATTCCTAAAAAAGACCTCTGCAACCACTCAATCTTCGAAATGGACAATAAAGACAGCATTAAAACGCTTGGACTGTACTGGCAGCCAAACCCGGACGTCTACGGATTCAAAATCCATTTCTCGATCAATCCCACACTTTCGAAAAGGGCTCTTTTATCAACAGTGGCACGGCTCTTCGATCCATTATGATTTTTAGCACCCTTGATAGTCATGTCAAAAATTCTCTTCAAGGACGTATGGAGCTTTCGTTTGCAGCAAACTGATGGCACTTACCGTGCACTCGATTGGGACGACATGCTACCAGAGTCTTTGGCAGCGCGTTGGCAGCGATATCTCGAACATCTTCCAGAAGTTCAACACATTCGCATACCACGCTGGTTCGGTTGCGATTTCAGCAATGTGATATCTCTTCAATTGCACATGTTCTCCGATGGGTCGTCCCTCGCGTATGCAGCGTGTGCCTACCTTCGAGTACTCGACACTGCTGGAATTATACATACACACTTAGTCGCAGCTCGCACTAGGGTGACACCAACAAAGCCTCTCACCATACCGCGAGTGGAGCTTTCCGGAGCAGTTCTAGCTACCAAACTCGCCAAAACTTCCCGTGCCTCAGATGCGGGTCACAGTGTACTACTGGTCTGACGCCATGATCGTGCTTCACTGGATATATGGAGATCCATGCAGGTGGAAGACTTTTGTAGCCAATCGAATTGGCAGCATCCAAGAGGTCAGCTCTGCTTCACAGTGGGGTCATGTGCAGGGCCGTAGCTAGAGCCTCGGGGGCCCTGGGGCAACAAGTAAATTTTGGGCCCCCTATACGGAAGTCTTTTGTCCCGGCGGGGCCCCTTCCCTTCGGGGCCCTGGGGCACCGCCCCACCTGCCCCATGCTAGCTACGGCCCTGGTCATGCGTCTACACAGGACAACCCTGCGGATTGTGCAACGCGCGGTTTAACCCCACTACAGCTCGCGCAGGATAAGCTCTGGTGGAGCGGCCCAGACTGGTTGCAGGAACCCGAAGATCATTGGCCCAAGGTAACTTTTACTTCTCCAGATCCGAGCACAATCTGCGAGGACCAGGCAGCAAAAGTTATTCACGCTCACACCTGCGCATCCACTGATTCCTTTGTTGAGTCATTTTCGTCATACAGTCGACTTGTATTTTCCACAGCATTCATTAATCGCTTTATCTATAATACTCGCTGCAAAAGGGAGGCTCGGCTTTCCGGACCAATTAGCGTAAAGGAGTTTTCCAAGGCAATGTATACTCTGGTTAGCGTTGTCCAACAGGAAGCATTCTCTCACGAACTGTCCAAGTTGCAAGCAAACAAATCGCTCTCAAAATCTAACAAGCTTAGCCAACTGTCGCCATTCATAGATGCCCAAGGGATCCTCAGAGTGCGGGGCAGACTTCGAAACGCTTTGCAGCTCACCACTCAACAACGCACGCCCATCATCCTACCGAAGTCACATCATTTTACGGACCTCGTCGTAAAAAACGCCCATCTGAACACCATGCATGGGGAGTGCAACTGACCCGTGCGATCATCCATCAGCAGTTTTGGATCATTAATGGCAAACTAGCGGTAAAAAGAGTTCTCCGACAGTGTGTGGCTTGCTTTCAGCATCGCCCTAAACCCTCTCGACAATTAATGGATGATCTTACCATACCATCGTGCTAATCCGCCGAAAAGAGCGTTCGAAGCTACAGGTGTGGATTACACAGGATCTATCGATGTCAAGGCCTCGAGGTTCAGAGGACACACTACATACAAGGCCTATATTGCAGTATTCATTTGCCTCGCCAGTAAAGCTATCCATTTGGAGCTGGTGACAGGACTAACAGCACAACATTTTCTCTGGGCTCTCCAAGGGTTATTGGACGCCGCGGTTTTGTGCGGCACATGTACAGTGACTGCGGCACAAATTTTATAGCAGCAGATAAATCCCTACAGTTGTGGTCTAACGAGTTCCGGCAGGAAATCAACCAGACAGTCGTCCCAGAACTCACAAAGCGCTATATTCAGTGGCACTTTAACCCCCCACACAGCCCAAACTTCGGAGGACTTTGGGAGGCTAACGTCAAAGCCGTAAAGTCTCATCTTCATCGTTCCTTCAAAGGATACCCAATGACTTATGAACAATTATCAACCGTTCTTATCCAGATCGAGGCCTGTCTTAACTCTCGGCCATTATGCCCGTTAACCGAGATATTAACGATCTGCAAGTATTGACTCCAGCTCATTTTCTCATCGGAGACTCCATGCAATCGCTTCCTACCCCCAGTGACAAGAAAAGGTGGAGCTCAGATTGGTTGTCTCACCATCAGGCACGCCCTAAGTGGAGACAAGAGGAAGAAAACCTACAGGTCAATGACCTAGTTATTATCAAGGACGACAGGAGAGGTCCAACCGATTAGAAACTAGGTCGTGTTATAGAATTACACCCTGGAGCCGATGGGATGGTACGAGTTGCAACAATCTATACAGGCTCGGGTACATATAAGCGATCAGTATCCAAGATCTGCAGATTACCCATCCCGAATTACACGGAAGCTAAAGTCGAGGAAGCTAATCTTGAACAATAGTGATACACGCATTTGATCTCACATCCATACCACAGCAAACATTTCACCTGTTTCTTTCAGTTACCATTAGAAGGATGTCTTAATGCTGGACCCAGCATTGCGGGGTGGCATGTACGGTCATTTTCGTTGTCGTAATGTTCATTACGTAATGTTAGTGCATACCACAACCCTACAATCGATACCTGCTTGATGTCTATCGATCTCGAGACCCCGGTCCCTTTGGAAAGCGGGACACCTCTAAGCTTCTTCCAATTATTACGACTGAAACACATTTTGTTATACTGCCAACATTGTTTGATCTCTAAAATCAATTCAAATTAAATTCAGTGACATACTTGAAACAAACCCTGTGTTTTTATAAAACGGCAACAGCAAAGTCCCCATAGCAGACTTCTGCTAATCATTGACTCCCGTATTCTATCGGCGCAGTCACAACACCTTTCTTCGGTAGCTTAATGATGATTCCTTTTTTCCAGGATGTTGGGATCCGCTCACTTTCCCATATATTATTGAAATGTGGATGCAGTGTTTCGGCCATTAGTTGCGTGTTAATCTGGAGAAGTTCGGCCGGTATGCCGTCATCTCCAGCCGCTTTGTTGCGTTTCAATTTCCTGATTGCAGCCTTAATTTCTCTAATTGATGGTGCCGTGGGTGATATTCTGAGGTTATTGCTCGGTACAATACTCCTGAAGTTATCTTGCGTGCTGCTCGGTTGTTCTGTGCAGCTGATCTCCACAAAGTGCTGTCGACATCCATGGAGTTGTGCCTCATCATCAGTAAGGAGTCTTCCATCCGGGTCCCACACTGGTTGGCACTGGCTGCCTATGGCAGCTTCCGGTCAGTTGAGTAATTATCTGGTACAATGAGCGCATGTTGTTCGTGTTGGCTGCGCTTTCTGCATTTTCAGCGAGCCTGTCCAGAAATTTTCTTTTGTCGGTTCTTGCTGATTTCTACACCATCTTGCACAGCTCTTTGTGTTCGTCGAGAGCTCTGCAGTCATGATCTGCTTTCGACTTTAGGCTGTTCCGTTTGCTGAATAGTTCCCAAGTGTGCGCTGATATCCATTCCGTGCGCCTGCGTTGTCGGGTGCCAAGCATCTCCTCCGCGGTGCTCCTCAGTATACTGCATGTTTGTTCCCATGAGTGATTCAACGGTTGTGCTGTCATCTGTTCAGGCAGCGTTGTGGCCATTCTGATGAATAGGTTGGAGTCATTCAGCCGTTGTACGTTAATGGTAGGCGGTCTTCTTGTGGTCCTGTTGACAGTGTTGCTATTTCGTCTGAGCTTGATTAAAAGCTCTTCGATTATCAGCTCGTGGTCACTGTCGATAGACGCACTTCTCCTATTCCTAACATCCATTATCGAGCGTTTCCTACTTATGCAGATGTGGTCGATTTGGTTGCGAGTATGTCCATTCGGAGAGGTCCATGTGTATTGATGGATTTCCATCAATAACCACCAATAACCAGTTGGAAGGTCTGACATAAGTCGAATAGCCTGTCACCATTATTGCTGCGTGTGCCAACACCATGTCGGCCCATAATTGTTTCCAATCCGTTGTTGTAGGGGCCGATTTTCGCATTGAAGTCTCCCATAAGAATTTTTATGTCACCTCTTTCGATCCTAGTGAGTGAGGATGTGAGGGCGTTGTAGAAGTCGTCTTTGATGTCATCGCTGGCGTCTTCTGTTGGGGCATAGCACTGCAGTATGGTGATGTGTCCAGCATTGCATCGGAATCTGGCAATGATGATTCTGTCGGATACTGGGCTCCAGGAAATTAGTGCCTGTTTGTACTGTTTGGACACATATATCCCGACTCCACTCCTGCCTCCATCATTGGTCCCGCTGTGCATCACTAGATTGCCGCTTGATGTTGTTGTTGTCCCCTTACCTCTCCATCTCATCTCACTGATGCCTGCGATTGCGATCTGCATTTTCTCCATTTCTCCTTTAAACTTCGCCAGTCTGGTTGGTTCCATTAAAGTCCTCACGTTCCATTGTTCAATTCGTGTCCGTTTCGATATGAGAATGGTCGTCAACGGGTTGGGGGGGTGGTTGGTTTCTTTTCTTCTTGTATTAGTTTCGTTAATCAATTGTTTTTCAGTTGATCCGGTGATTAGCCAGGTGCAACCTATCCCAGGGGTGGGGCTGCCACCTGTCGATATCTGGGCATACCGTTTTTCGACCTCACATGTTTAGTAGCATCGGAAAAGATACCCCTAAGCATAATGAAGCCGAAAAACTTTGGAGGTCATGATTGCCATGAGTGGGGTTTGAACCCACGACCCAACGCTTAGCGTTCAGCTACACTACCCACTAGGCATATGGGTTCCCAGGTGTTAGATTAAATAGTGTTAATTCTATTAGTGAGTAAGTTGAATGTTTTGTAGTGGATTATGGCCAAAACAGATTCCGAACTGAAAAAGGCATATGATATGATAAAGGAAAAATTGGCAAAGCGAGGTTTGATGTGGTAGTGGGGTTATACCTAACCTTTTTAAAAGAAGAAATAAAAAAAGGAGAAAAGAGAGAAAAAAATTAAGAATAATGATTTCCATGGCCCCAAATTGTGTTTCCCAATAGTGAATTTAATCTAAAATTT